CTTCATTATTTGTTTTTTATTGATAACTGCTAAAGGCATTTGTAAACAATAAAATAAAGTGTCGCTGAATTTAGGAAAATGTCTTTTTCACCAGCACAATCATTGACATTATTATTAGTGTACTTTCATTATGAAGTTTAGTGTCAATAGTATGTACCATTAGTGTCCTTATTATTATATTCATTCTCTAGGTATCAATGATTCAGTTGTTAGTGTTGGCAATGCTCATACAATGTTCATTACAAACTCAAGGTAATTAATAAAATAATAATGATTAATTACCGTAAATCCTTAAATAGAAGCCGCATTCGAATAAACGCCGGGGTAGCAATAGAATTAAAGTAGAAATACGCAAAACTAGCCCAGGAATGACTTAGTAGTGGATAATGCCTGACGTTCCAGAAGTCAAAAGCATGAGGTTACGGGTTCGAATCCTGCTCTGGGCTGGAGTTTTTTTTATTTTTTATATATTTTTTTCGAGATCCAAATACCATTTTAGCACATAGACGCCTGGGCTTTTAATTAAGGAAATATGGTATTTATTAAGATTAATTTTATTATGAATTGTTTATTATATAGGCGGTAGCCTATATGTAGGATTGAGGTTGATTTTTCAAGATGGCGGCCGTTTTTATGATTTTCAAACACTTATAACTCTTTTATCTTACGTTGTACTAGTCTCGCGTAGCCAGACCACACCCTCCGTGCCTACGGGTGGGTCTGGCAAATCATAGATACAGTATACAACAGGGATTGGAAACGGCCCGGTATCACGTGATCTTTTCCTTAACATTTCAATGAGACAATAAAAATTGTCAAAAAACCTAGGCGTGTTACGGGTTAAAAATAAATATTCAGGGATATTCTTCAGAAAAGTCTCGAGAAAGTCATCTGTCTAATGACTTTTTAAGATTTGAGTGGTCCCCATTCTAGGAAAACTTTGGCTGCATAAAGCTCTCTTTCGAAGGTATTCTATAAACTGGTACTCTTTGCAATATATCCATTCTCGTATGATTTGAGATCTTTTCTCCCTCTAGCTTCTACATTGATGACACAACAGCTGTTATGATGAGATGTCTAGATTGATGTGACTATTATCCAATGTACTGAGTGTTTTTAATCTTAATTTTCTCTTAAGCCGTGTTTTATTGAGGACATCAAGAATAGTTGGACCTACGGTGGAATTTCTCCCTCTGGCAACTTCACTATGACTAATAACAAAAATCTGTGGCATTAGTATTGTTCCCTAGGAATCTCTCCAATGTAATGAGCTACAATGAAGTGACTATTTTTGTCCTGTGGATATTTGGAAGGCTGTTTCTGCAAGTGAAGAATATTGCCGTTTATTGATTATTTTTGATAAACTTGCTATGCATGCAACTTTTATTTGATTCCAACTATTAGTTTTTACATTGTAGAATAGTTATCAAGTGTCAGTGATACTGCAGCGTCAAGATATATGAAATAAACAGGGTTTGTAATTTTAACATCTATAGGGCGGCCATTTTGAATATAATTATTAACCCGTAACGCGCATCAACCATTAATTATCCGAGTGTTTCCAATCCCTGTATACTGTATCTATGGTTGGGACATAGTATACAAAGCTATACTTGTGTGCAGTGTATGTACATATGATCATGTTAATAGTATGAAGTGACTACTGAGGTAAATTAAAAGCATTTTCCCTGCATTTGTATTGAGTCAGTAGTCAGTGCACCAATTTTGATAAAATTTAAGTCTTAAATACAATTACATATATGTACTTGTAATTAAAGGTCTGGTTTTGTACTATCATTTGTTACTTTTTAATTTTTTATTCTAGAGTCTCCATATTTTATAATTACTCCACATCACATTGTATCAGTAAGATATAATAATGCTATTACATTAAACTGTTCATCCGGTGGAGTACCTTTGCCAAACATCACTTGGTTCAAGGATGGTATAGTTATACCTACTGATCAGTACACCAATAGTAATGAATCAGATACACTCATTACTATGCTCACTGTTGTGGGATCATTAACTTCACATGGATATTATACTTGTCAAGCAGTCAATAATCTAGTTGAGAGGAGAGTCATAAACACTACTGTGAATGTAATTGTTAATGGTAAATAGGCTAGTTAAAATACTATTTTATTATATTTATTATTTTGCATTATAGAGCCACTTAGTTATGATGAGAGTGATCCTCTTTCAACCCATATAACTTTGAAGCAGTCAGATACTTTTACTGTGCACTGTAGCTTCTCTGGACTTCCTTTGCCTGTCATATTCTGGTTTAGTCATAACGGTTTTCTCAGTAACAACAGTAGAGTCTCCATTACTACTGATATTCAAGAGATTACTGTAACTTCAACCCTGACAATAAAAAATGTCAATAAATCAACTGATGAAGGATTTTATTTTTATATTGGCTTTCAATCTCACAAGAATTATTTTAATCACACATACCTAAATATTCAATAACTTTATATATTTAGTTAAAAGTTTAAGTTTATCTTTTAGTTTGTATAGTACCTGTGCTTGTTCACTATTGTTACAGTGTTATGTTATTATTCCTCACTCATTCATTATGTTCTATTACTAGTACTCATGTACCTAGATATATTTTGTTAACAGTTGCGTTTTATTGTTTACAAGATATTTATGCATGAACTCAATAAGATGATGGCTGTATGGGATTGCAGGAACTGGTAGTTTGTTTTGATTGATTATTCTTGATTACTTCTTTTCTATTTGTGTATTATTTGTGAGAAGAACAGCTTTGCTTAAGTCTGTGAGGGTCAGACTAGCTTTGTTACACTATCAAATATTTGTGAGCTGAGTCCTTGTCAGAAAGAGGTAGACTAGTTGTAGCCTTGTTTCAGCCCCTTCTACTTACATGCATTACACCTGTGATTGTGAGTTTTGGACATGTACTGGTAGTCTTGGTACTAACTATCAATGAAACTACTCAAACTCTTTTCATAACTAATATGATATAGCATTCTATTAACCATTTTTCTTTTGTCTTGTACTTTTTATTCTTATTGCATTCTTTCTGATGGACATGATTTGCTTAAATTATTAATCCTTTGAATTTTGCTTGTAACCTTAAGTAAATGTACTGCATGCTATAGAATGCCATTCGCTAAGAGTAGTTAATTGTAAGTGGTTGAGTTAATAATTACTTTATAATACATCTTACCTAAAAATATTTTATTCTTGTAAAATTTTCTTTTCTGCTCATGCAGGCTGTTGATACAGTGACACCTTAAGTGTATAGGTCAGGTCTATTCGTTAGTTGTATCATTGTACATCTGTTGCAAAAATCAATTTCCTGTCATGTTACACTAAATCAGGTGCAATATTACCATACAGATTTTTACAAATAGCCATAAAAAAGTGCACTTTTCATTTTCACTTTTTCAAATACATGATGCTTTAATAGAAGAGATATAATTTTTGTAATTTTCATAATTTTGGGGGGACAAAATTGTTAGCAGAACTGTATAAAGATTTTTCTTTTAAGCATTATAAAAATATTTGTAATCCAAAAACATGAATGTAAATGACCTACTATAGTACTATTGAGCTTTATTCAATATTATGACTAGATATAAATGGATATTATGATCATTATTACCAAGTGCTAGATAGTCTAGTGGGTTTCTCTTTAGAACAACTAGTCCTAGAGTTTTTATCCTAGATATATGATTTTTGCACCATTGCATTGCGCTTCAGGAATGCTAGTCTAGTGCATATTGCCATTGCCATTTATTGCTATACTAACATTGATAGCAATACTCATTAGTGCTGCAAAGGCCATTTCATGCCTGCAGTGTAGGGTTGACATGTTGGTGTTTCAATGGTGATACAACCCTACAGGGGCTTGTTTGAATTCATTTGTAGGTTCAAATCCAACAGAGGCTCAACCCTACGCTAAATAATTTAAAAAATTTTTTGTTCTAGTGTTATATCAAGTCAAGTAGATCTAAATTAGCACAAATTTTAAGCTACAGGCTACATATTCTCTTTAATCAACAATGATAATTGAAGCATTTTCATTAGAGTAGTCTACATGTAACTTCAAATTAACATTACTCTATTATAATGATCATAATAGTAGAACAATAATAGTGATGATATTCATTCATCATCTGTTGTTTGTTCCTACTTACATAGACCACAGCTGGAACATAGCATTAAAACCAGGTGTTTTGTATTTAGCTGTACAAATAGAAAGCTATTTTTGTACAAAGTAAATGATTATAGTTGACTTTAGACCATATGTGCACTGTTAATTGACTTGTTGTCATGCAAAAGACATACATGTACAGGGGTTGAGACACCAATCTAAAAGGGGAGGGGGCTCATTTTTTAACCATTGTATATTCGTTAATTCAGTATCTTTAAAATGATCCAAAAACTTTAGTGCATTCATCAATTACACTAATATACTCCTTAGCACTTAATACTAAATCTAAGTTATCAGTAATTTCCTTATGTATATGTAATAGTAAGCAATGAATTAATATTAATTTTAGTAAACTTTTTTTAGAAAAGGAATGAATAGCTGATGCTAATTGAAAAAAGAATAAATACATGATGAGGTGATAACATAAAAATCAAAAGCTAAATCAAAATTTATAATCTAGATAGAATTTAAAATAAGAGATGGAGGTTGATTGTTTGATTTTACTTGGGAGAGAGTTCCAAAGTCTAATAGTAAATGGAAGGAAGGAGAGGCGATAGGAGGAGGTGCGACAGAATGGGACAATAAAATTATTGGGGCAATAGTGACGGAGAGACATTGGTGGAGGAGGAGGGTGTGGAGTATTTGCTAAGTTAATAACATAAACAATGAAAAGAGGGAGCAGTGCCTCTCCTGCTGTGCCTTGCATCAAAATTAGGAGGGGCTATGCTCTTCTGCAGCAGCAAAGGTAGGAGCTTTGCCCCCAGCACAAAAAGGGTGAGGGGGGGCTCCAGCCCCCCTGCCCCCAGATTCTATATTACTGATGTGAGTATGTTGTTGATCAACTGCAATCAATTAATATAATAAAGTTTGCTTTTTACAATAAATAGGATGTATCATAACATACATAAATGAGCAGTGTTATAAACATGATGGATTGCAAATCAAATATTTTGTTTAGCACTTACATGAACCTAACTCGAACAAATTTCTCAAAACACGTACACATTAAATATTTCTGTTTATTTAATACAGTAATGAGCTGTTTGTAGT